CCACGGCTTCAGAAATGGCTGGAACAAGTGGAAGCTACACCCTCACAATGACACCTGGAACTGTCTTTGCCACCACCCTCACTAGTCACTAGCCACTGGTTGAAGAAACTGCGTGCCAGGCATCAGGCTTTCAGAGAGGGATGGGTATCTTTTTGTACAATGAAGGGGGAGAAGGCAGTTTGACGAAGGCAGGTCCTTATTGCGAGCAGCGTCGCATCGCATGATTCTGTCCTCACCACTCTGCTTGCCTTCTGGAGAAGTCACCAACAGCTGGCTGGGTCCGAGATATACCTCATCACACTTCTGTCCACTGAGACACAAAAAGAACCTCCATGCACATTAGCCTTGCCATCTTCTCACAGGCCTCCATCTTGTGGATCAACTGCGGTGTTGTCGATCAACGTCCACTACCCAGCCACAAAGGTTTCTCAAGGCTGTCTTGCTGGCAAAGAGTGGTCTGCCAAAAACACTTGCATGTTTTTTACGAAACTCTGGCTTGCCAAGTGCTATATCTGACATGGACTGCTCGATTGAAACTTCTGCATGTCTATCATATCCTCCCGACATCAACCGCTCTCACGTGTGGCACATTGATATCGAAGAAGGGCTCATCCCTAAGCCAGACATCCGTGATAGCTGCTTGACTGCAAGGCTAAGAGAGATCACAGGCAGCAGGCCCCCCATGTTTCATCAAACACGTTTGAATGTGATGCTGTTTTCGCATGTGACACTTGGGACATTCTCTCAAAACCCGACATGAATGGCCATGATGAAGACACACCTGGCAATCTGGGAGACCAATCTGAATTCTGGATGCAGCATTCTCTCATTTCAAGCCCTCCTATTGGCGAGGAGGTTTCTTGGAATGGAAGAACCTTAGTGAGCACTCCCGACAAACTCCTTTTGACCACAATGAAAACCCTTGCTCAGAAAGTAGAGTCCAGAGTCCTTTACAAGCAATCATCGGCCTGAAACAGTGCTCTGGGTTTCCTGAGGCTCCACTTTCTGCCGGACGGGTGAAATGATCGATCTTGGCTGTGCATTGCCTTCAGCTTTGAGACATGCTCAAGCCACCTTGCTGCATGCTTTAAGACCCATGGCAGGAAGGAAAGGAAGGCAACCCTTTGTTAATCGTCACCAATCGAAAGTGACCGAAAAGCTGGCACTTGCTGAGCATGCATCTTCTGTAGATTTACTCGATGTTTCTGAAGATTGGAACAAAGTGCCAAGATTCACTTTGGTGACAGCTGGCGTCAATCTTGTGAAATTCTGATGTACCAGGTAAGTTGGGTGAGTTTCTCCAGAAGAAGGTCTCGGCTGAAGCTAGACGGAATCTAAGTTCATCTGAAGTTCCATCAATTTAGTCTTCGGAGTCGCATACGCCAGTGGTTGCGGCTAACCAACTGGAGCTTGAAGTTTGTCCAACAGAATCTTCGCACAAACTCGAGGGTCGATGTCCGACATCGCGCCGATCGTTGGCATCTTGCCGATCGATCCGCAAACGAAATCGGTCCGCACAGCAGCTCACCGAATTGGTGAGGTCCCGCTTTTTGAGCCGAAGACCAGGCCGAGAGCCACGTTCGTAGCGTCCGATCGCTCCTAGTAGTAAGGCCAGGAGCCCCTCTATGTCAGCACTCTGTTTGAAATGGGTTCTTCCCAAAGAGTGGGCTGAACCGTCTGCGACGGAGGCGTCTGCGCATGCCATGTCCAACCGTTGTCATGTCCAACAGTCAGCTAGCGAAAGCAAGCTCAAGAAGCGAAAATAAAAGTAAAAAAAGGACTAAATAAAAGGGGATAAGAACTACAAAGGAACAATAACTACCAATCGTTTCCGCCATACAGGGTTTCCACGCTTTTTGGTTTCTGCATTCACAGTCATAACCGAAATAGAACTCAAAAAAAATATATAGGCAAAGGT